AAAAGAAGGGCTCATCCTTCATCCCTCATCCTTCATCCCTCATCCTTCATCCTTCATCCCTCATCCTTCATCCCGCCTCCTCCCGGCTCCCCGCCCGCCGGCGCAGAGGGAGGTGCAGCTCCCCGGCCTCTCCAGCTCCGGAGAGGCGCCTTCCTCCTCCTCATCCCCATCCTCCTCATCCTCATCCTCATCCTCCTCCTCCTCATCCTCCTCCTCATCCTCCTCCTCATCCTCCTCCTCCTCCTCCTCCCCTGCAGTGCCCCGGTGCCGTCCCTGCCGAGCAAACTTTGTGCAGGTCCTGATGCCGCCCCTCGCCTCCTCCTCCTCCCTCAGGGCACCCAGGAACCAGGGGGAGGGAAAACAACAAAAGGGAAAGGGAAAGGGAAAGGGAAAGGGAAAGGGAAAGGGAAAGGGAAAGGGAAAGAAAAAGAAAAAGAAAAAGAAAAAGAAAAAGAAAAAGAAAAAGAAAAAGAAAAAGAAAAAAGAAAAAAGGAAAAAAGAAAAGAAAAGAAAAAAGAAGAAAAAGAAAAAGAAAAAGGAAAAAAGAAAAGAAAAAAAAGAAAAGAAAAGAAAAGAAAAGAAAAGAAAAGAAAAGAAAAGAAAAGAAAAGAAAAGAAAAGAAAAGAAAAGAAAAGAAAAGAGAAAAAGAAAAAAGAAAAAAAGAAAAAGAAAAAGAAAAAGAAAAAGAAAAAGAAAAAGAAAAAGAAAAAGAAAAAGAAAAAAGGAAAAAGAAAAGAAAAGAAAAGAAAAGAAAAGAAAAGAAAAGAAAAGAAAAGAAAAGAAAAGAAAAGAAAAGAAAAGAAAAGAAAAGAAAAGAAAAGAAAAGAAAAGAGAAAAAGAAAAAAGAAGAAAGAAAAAGAAAAAGAAAAAAGAAGAAAAAGAAAAAGAAAAAGAAAAAGAAAAAGAAAAAGAAAAAGAAAAAGAAAAAGAAAAAGAAAAAAGAAATAAAAAAGAAAAAGGAAAAGGAAAAGAAAAAAGAAAAGAAAAAAGAAGAAAAAGAAAAAGGAAAAAGAAAATAAAAGAAAAAAGAAATTAAAAAATAAAAGAATAAATAAAAAGAAAAAGAAAAAGAAAAAGAAAAGAAAAAAGAAAAGAAAAAGAAAAAGAAAAAGAAAAAGAAAAAGAAAAAGAAAAAGAAAAAGAAAAAGAAAAAGAAAAAGAAAAAGAAAAAGAAAAAGAAAAAGAAACCCCAAAAAACTCTCTCTGTGTGTCTTTGGTTTTGCTCTAAGTTTGTTTTGCAGGCTTGTCATCATTTTATATCAGGAATATGAAAGTGAAGAAATTAAAGTGATTTTTATTTTTTTTAAAGTGATTCTAGGGGTAACTTGCTATATATATTAAAAAATAAAAAAAAAGTGGTTTGCACTTGTCTGCTCTCTGCCCTGGGTTTTAAAATGATCATCTAATTCCCACTAAAGCTCTAATCTTGTAAAAAACTTCTGTGGTCTTGCCTTTTTGTGCCTGTGAATGTTTTTCTTGAATTTAAATTTGGAGTTATGTGGTGCAGGGTGTTCAGCTGAGACTTGCAGCACACCTGTGAAAAGGCAAAATGTGAAATAGCAAAAAAAAAAAAAGATGTGAAAGGTGAAGTAGAAAGGGCTCACCCTCCTGAAAAGACACCCTGTGTCTGCTGTACCTCTTTTTCTTGAGGTTCCTCAAGTGATCTCTAATGTGTGTTTGGTTCTGAGCAAAGGTTACATCTGTGCAAAGGTTTACCTAGTCCACTGCAATAAGAGATTGCTTGAACATCCAGGTTGTTTGCACTTCTACACTTGTTCTGTTCATGTTTATTTTATTTGGTTTATATAACTGTAGTATACTTATTCTGATATTTTTACTCTCTTCTGATGGAGCTGTTGTGAATTCTATAAACTGTTCAACAAAGCACTGCTGCACTGTGCTTGCTAGGGGTATTACAGGTACATGAGATTTACATGAGCTCAAGAGAACAGGCAGGTGAGGTATTTGAATATATGTTTGTTACAGCTGATGGAAATGCTTATTGTAGGAAAATATATTTTAAAATGAGCAGGCAGATGAACTTGGCTCTAAAGTCCCTGCTTAAAAGTTGCTCAGGGCTGGAGGGGTGATCACAGGATACATCTGTCTTGCTTTGTGGAGGTTTTTTCTCTGAATCATAGAATGGTCTGGATTGGAAGGGACCTTAAAGATCATCCATTTCCAACCCCCTTGCCTTGGACAGAGAAATTTCCACTGCCCCAGGTTGTTCTGAGCCTCATCCAGCCTGGCCTTGGACACTTCCAGGGGTGGGACATCCACAACTTCTCTGGCACCCTGTGCCAGTGTCTCACCACCCTCACAGTAAAGAATTTTGCCCTAATATCTTATCTGACCCTACAATCTTTCAGTCTGAAACCATTCCCCCTTGTCCTGTTCTGCCATTGCCTGCTCACAAGACAAAAGCTAGTAAAGTCTCTAAAGAAAACTTCAGTCTGACTTTTTTTTGGCTATTTTAACATTTGCTTTTGAAATAGCAGGATGCTGTGATCACTAGCCAATATTAGTGTAACAGGCACAACTTGATATTTCGTTATTTCATATACATTGAAACCACTGCAACAGGACAGAGAGACTACAGGAAGCTTAGCATCAATATTGAGGATATGGCAGCTTGCTGAAAATCAAATGCTGTGTTACTAAGTGTTGTACTTGAGATCTGAATTGTCCAAATTCTTATTTTATACCCTCTTCAAAGGGAAGAACAGAATCCAGGTCTCTGTTCCCATTATTTGAACTTAACTACATAAACACATGCCTTGCCTAAACAGAGATATAATGACCAAATTAGGGTGTTGCACATGTTAAAGAATGTACTGCCTGGACTTTTACTTCTTTTTAGTAAAACACCAAAACAAAAATGTGTTAAGAAGACTGAGATGATTTGTTGTGTGTATTTGACATGCATAACTTAAAGCATTAGAGAAATTAAGTTTAATTGAAGATTAGGCAATGGGAACATTTCTCTTCTCAAAGACTATTTTTCTCCAGCCCTTCCTAGAACTAAGAAAACTTTCTTGAAAAGAAAACTTTCTAAGAAAAGTTTCTTAGAACTGAGAAAATTTATGAAGGAAGTCCTGAATATCCAGTTTTCTGCCCATTTTCCATTAGTACTGCTGCATTTTCATTCTACAAGTGTATACACAGATATTCTTTAATTCCTTCAACACATATAAGACAAACACCAAATTTCTTCTACATCAACACCCACACAAAACTTCACAGCAAAAGCTGCTCACCTGTCTAAGTAACATCATTTCAAGTTGCAATTAATACTTTTGTTGATCAGCTTGTTGAAAAGTTTTGATTACCATGAAGCTTAAGAAAGTATCACTTGCTAGAAGAAATGCTGAAAAATGACCATGCTTTTTTATGTATTATCTGCTTACATTTGGCCTTTTGTATAGGAGTTTGTGGTAGATGTTGTAGTGAAGCCAATTTAAATTGAATTTGCTGCTTGCTTTCTTTGAGTGTTGACTGTCCTTACCTGCAACTTGTAAAATTGTCACTTTCTGTTCTCTCCATCACCAAATCTGTCTGTTCTGGAATGGTTTTACCTTCATTTCCCATGGGTGTAAATATCTGAATAAGGCTAGAGGTGCACAGAAAACAGTTAATCTCTCCAGTGAGCTGAACATTACATGTGAATTTCAGGTC